CGGGCTCTAGCAAGAAATTGTGGCGTCAAACTGGTTGTCGGTTGAATTGTTTTGCAATAGACATAATTTTGGAGCCTGTATTTGTCTATGAAATGTTTCTAAGTTTTGTTGAGGATTTTTCTGTAAAGAAATTGCTGAAATTATTTCATTTGTTTGTAAACGGGACGTTGTTGCTTTGACGATGGGGGTACTTTTTGACGATCTGTCTCGGGAACATTTTCCCGAGAAAATCGTAGAAAAGGGGGTATTTTTTGCTTGTTTTCCCGAGATTCTCAAAATAGGGGGTGTATTTCAAAACACTTCCCGAGATATACAAAAAAGGGGGGTTTAAAAGGAGTTCTAGACTGAAAAGTTCCCTAGATAGTTGGTGAAATTCATCGGAAAAGCCCGTGAAAGGGGGGGGTTAAATTTTCTTCTTTTCCCTAGATAGGGGGGGGGTCAAAAAAATGAGGGAACAAGCATAGCCCCCCCCCCTAAATATAGGGAGTGGGGCGGGACGATGGGCTACGGACGACTGACGTCGAAACGTTCCATTCAGATCGGATGGCGCCCTCTCGTGCCAATCCCCCCTGGTTATCGCTTCTTGTTTAATATATCGCCCTCTAACGACGATGATTACAAATGTCAAAAGTCATCAGCTGTGCCTCTGATCGAAGAACAGCGTTGTTTGTTTAAGTCAGCGTGTCTGTAACAGTCGTACAATGTCACATTCGCCGAGAACCAAGAGATTGAGGAAGTCTGAAGAGAGTTCTGGTGAAAGCGCAAATGCTAACGAATTCTTTTCAGGTGGGTAAGGACTGAGGCACGTACTTTGTTGCAACGGGAGTTCTCAGGGCTGGTTAGTTAGGTCAGGATCGATTCGCCCTAAACTTCTGTTTTAAGGGCCCGTGTTTCCGACTGCAGACCGTTTCGATTATTTTTGCAATACTGAGATGACTACTGTAGTACTCATACTTTCAATTCGTCCAACTGTTTTTCTTTACATCGAACATAGGCTTGCAGTTCACGTTTGTTTGTCCCAAGGCGCCGAAAGGCAACATAAAAGGGGCGTGGTGTTATATTTTGTCAACCCCGTGTGAACTTGAACAAGTGCACACAAAATTAAGATGGATGAAGAAACAACGATTGTCGTTTTTATTTTCGGGTATAGTCATTAAATATTAGCGTTTTATATATTTTAAACAAATTGCCCCCCCCCCCCATTCTGTACACTGCTGGAACCGTATCTTATAAGCAAACTGCTATTCTAAAGCTAGGGCCCAAAGTCAGTACAAACTCAAATGAATTTGGTTAGTTCTACCAAGTTGGCAAATAAACACATATCAATTAATGATATATGAATTTATTCAGTACAATGGCCTCAGGCCTATGATACAATAAATCAGTAATCGAAACATACATATTTGTGTTTGCCAATTTATCATTTTATATTATTTGATATATGGATTAAATATGCATTAATCAAAACTATCTGAAAACAATCAGCAATTCAAGCAAGAAAGAAAACAAATGCTCAAAACAAATACTGTGAAATAATTTATTTTCGCTGGAATTAATTTTCGCTGAAAATACTTTTTGGGTGTTTTGTATGAAATTTATTTTCGCTGATTTTTGGTATGTTGAATGTAAAATATAGGAAAAAAGGTATATTCGCTGGATTTTATTTTCACTGAATCACTCCTTCAGCGAAAATAGCAAAAATTTATTCTAAGCGAAAATAAAGTATTTTACAGTAGTTTAGTTTTATTGTTCAGAATAATTTATCATATAAAAATATCTTATTTATGTATAAAAAACATAAGATGATATAGATTCTGTAGAGTTATGAATCATTATATGTTTTATTTCATCAGTTATAATAATCGCTGATACCCAGTTGAAGTTACAGCATTGCTATTTTTTTGATAGGTCTTTTCCATTGACAACACATAATGTTTTGGAGTTATTTGGTGATCTATTCTAAGAAAAGAATATTCACAAAACTGAACACAGTTGTCACTGCATGTGAACAACATTGGTCCCACGTCATAGTTCAATGATTGATTGATTGATTGATTCAAATACTTGATTATTTGTTTGATCAATTGATAATTAACCAATTGTGAACAGCATTCCCTTCGTCCCAATAATTATTTCATTTTTTTATAGGCATTGGTAAGATTGAATACAAGCCGAATGCTGGTCCCGAAGATGTCATGTGTTTCAAGCACTATGCTGCCAAAGAGGTGAGCACTAGTACTATTTATACATTTATATGATAATGGTATACATTGGTATGATATGCAATATACTATTACAAGTCACGTGAAATTCTGGACGGTCACAAAATCTCTAAATGTAAATATTTGTAATATACCATATACATTCGACTCTGTGAAAAGACTGGTCAGTGTTGACTCAGGTACATTTTTTTTGGTTTGGTGCCATTGTGTATTACATGTATTATGGCTAAGTGTGTATTAGATGATTTTTTTATATAGAGCATTAAAGTAGAAGACTACTCATGAATGCAAATACTGAGATGTATTCATTTTCAAATAAATTGTACTTCCAGGCATTATAAAGATATTGAAAAGTTGGGGGCCACTAACTTAGTTTTTGAGAAAAATTATGGTTGTGTCTTAGTTGATAGTCTATTTGACAGTATTATAATGTTTTTACCATAGGTTTCTATGCTATATCCCAATTTGTAGCCTGGAGACATATGCTGAAAAATCATATATTGTTAATGATTAGGGTACTTAATTATTTCAAAAATCTGGATTTTAAAACATGTCAAAACATGGAATTGCTCTATGGAATTCTTGAAAAAATTATTTTTTAAAATAATAGGGCAAGTTTCTCCAAATAAGTCACTGTAACACACAGAATGTTATTTCATGGTACCATTGGACAATAGCTTCATGATTTTTGATAATAATTCAATGAACACTGCCAATGCAATTATGACTAGGCTTCTCCACCTTAATTTACCTTGCACAATTGAACCTCCCATCACCCTTTGCAATTTATGACCAACTTTCTCAAGAATTATGACTAGGCTTCTCCACCTTAATTTACCTTGCACAATTGAACCTTCCCATCATCCTTTGCATTCCGTGATACATGTAGTATTGGTTTAATAGCACACTCCACATGCATGGTAATCAATCAAACTGAATCAATTTGCATTGTATATTACTGTCTGTGGATATCAGTTAAATAATAACACATGCTTGTGAGGGTAATATCACGATTTGTTGTCTGCTCAAGGGATGGTGCTGTTGTTCATGACCATAATATTGATGATACCCTCGCCTTCGGCTCTAGCATCATCAATATTATAATCATGACCAACAGCCCGAGGGCAAACAACAAATCGTGACATTGCCCGAATATTCATGTGTTATTTATTTTATCACATCAAACAGACATCCACCGTGGACAACCTCCAACAAAATAACAACACTTTTAGTATGCAATATTTTATTTTATCTATTATAACAAGTTTCACATTACTCAATAGCATACATACATTGTTTGCTGAAAAAAACTGCGAAAAATACACAGTAAATGTTATTTTCAGCTACGGATACTCTTTTTAGTAGCCATGTTTCAGCAGTGTGAATCACTCAATTTATCAAGATTAACGTTTTTGATATGAATTGCGAAATTCTCAAACGCAATTTATTTGCTGTACATTTTTGCTTGCTATAAAAAATACCCTAAACATCAAAACAAAGTATCTTAATATCCATTCGGGCACGTTCGCTGTCTATTTCGGATGACTAAAGTTCATTCAAAACTTTGAAAGCAACCCCGAAAAAAAAAAAGCGACCAAGGCAGCACCAGTGCAGTGAACGACAATTTTCTATGCGCAAGAATTATATAGATCAATCCATGTACCATCTGTATGACACACCCACCAATCACGTTCTTCCTTTCAAGGTGATCCATGGGAAGTCAATGGCAGATTGGTTGAGGTTTTCCGTATGTTACTGGCATACATTCCGAGGAACTGGTGCCGATCCTTTTGGGTTCCCAACAATTGAAAGACCATGGGAAGACGGTAAGTGTATAAACTGACACTTGTAAACATTCTGTGAGCTGTTATTTTCTTGTATATTCAAAAAGCATGTATTAAATGCATTGTACACTAAGGTAATAGTCTAGCTATCAAGCCTTTTCAACCTTTCCAATGTTTTCTCTGATGCTATTGGTTAAAAATACATTCAATTAATTTGCATATCACTGTGTATAGATTTATTAAAGTTTCACTATGAAATACTTTATTTTAGTTGGAATTAATTTTCGCTGAATAGACTTTTTGGATGTTTTGTATGGAATTTATTTTCACTGATTTTTGACGAGTTGATAGTAGGAAAAAAGGTATATTCGCTGGATTTTATTTTCACTGAATCATTCCTTCAGTGCAAATAGCGAAAATTAATTACAAGCGAAAATAAAGTATTCCACAGTATACCCTTATTGAACCTTGTTTTTATCTTTGGCCACGTTAAAATTATTACAAAATACATTCAATTTAATTGCATATCACTGAATATGGATTTATTAAAGTTATATACCCTTAGTAAACCTTGTTGTTTTTGTCTTCGGCCATGTTAATATTATTATATTTGTCTTTTCAGGGAGTGACAGTATTGAGAATGCTAAAAGACGTCTGCGAGCTGCATTTGAATTTTTCACTAAACTTGGTGTGAAGTATTGGACTTTTCACGACAGGTAGATACAAGTTTTTGTAGTTCTTCATGGGATATGAATTGTTGTTTCATCCCACTGTAGCCCAGAGTGAATGGGCAGTGGACTGTGATTAAAACTGTTGCACAGCAAATTTTTTTTTTTTTTTTTTCAGTGTGAAAAATTCATCAATAAAATAGATTTGAAATTCAATAACGTCTGAGAAGGACAAATGTCAACATATTTTAACAAGAACTTTTTTTTTAATATGAGGTATTGCCATGGAGAGTCACGCCTTAATCTTAATCACTACTTGTTTCAAAATTCACATTTCATTGATATTTGTGTTTAATGGGGTTATAAAAGTC